TGCTGCCGCTGCTGCTGCTGCTGCTGGGCGGAGGGGAGGGTGGCAGCAGGCTACGGCGAGCCCCCTGCAGCAGCACTAGGGAGGCGACGGGGGAGCTGGGGAGGCGCTGGGGAGCTGCTGCTGCTGCAGCTGCTGCATCGGAGCTGCAGGCAAAACGCCGCAGCTTCCTGGGGCAGCATCAGCAGCTGCGGGGGCCCCTGTAGAGGGAATTGGGGGCTGGGGGAGGTCCGGGGCAGCTGGGGCGGCAGCTGCGTCTGGAGCCGCAAGCAGCAGCAGCAGCGCAGCAGCAAGAGTGCATGCTGCTGCGGCTGCTGCTGCGGAGGGAAACGACGCAGCTTCAGCCGCAGCCACCCAACGGAAAGGATTCTAATGCAGAAACGAAAGAAATGAAACCTCTGGAAGAGCTTGGGAAACAGACAGAGGCAGAGGCGGCTCTTGGGGCCCTGGCTACTCACAGCCCCCTCCAGGTCGGTGGCGCAGGAGGTGGAAACCGCGGCTCAAAAGGCCTCAGCCGCTAAATTCAAGCAATATCTGCATAATAAAAACTGTTTTATTTCTTTTTTCCGAAAAAGATATCCCGATTAAGCGGCTTTCGACGCAGTATTTCAAGTGGCGGTTGGCGAATGTTCAATGCGCGGCTGTCCGTCTGAGGTGTACGTACAGTCCGCATCGAGTGCTTCTTTCCGGAAAGCGCTTTGCAAGTTGCATTTGTTGAATTTGCGAAACTTGAGTGTTTTTGAATTTAAATTACGGAAAATTGCCGGAATTGTTTCGCATTTACCTTTTTCTTTCCACTTTAAGCAGCTTTCCCGCCAATAAAGCCCCTTTTACCCCACCACCGCAACCACCTTCCCTCCCCTCGGGGTTGCTTGGCTACCGCCTGTCTGTCCGTCTTCTGCACATTTCCGCTTTTCTCGTCAACTCCTTTCGGAAGTTTCATTCATTTTTCAAAAAGAAAGCCTCGCGTGCTTCCTTTCGCCTTCGTGCTTCGCCTCCCGGCCTCGCGCGCCCACCAGCAGCACAACTTGCACAGCAGCCGCAGCAGCAGCAGCAGCAGCAGCAGCAACTCCCGAAACTCCGCTCCTCGCACAAGAAAATGCTCGAAGCCAGACTCCAAAACGCGGTGGTCCTCAAACGCGTCTTCGAGGCCATGACTTGCCTCGTCAACGAAGTCAATTTGGACTGCGACGAGTCCGGACTCAAACTGCAGGTGAGGTGTACGTACACCCCAGGCTGTACGTACACTGCAGGGTGTACGTACACTGCAGGGTGTGCGTACAGTGCAGAGGGGGCGGAAGTCCACCTCCCCCCTCCGAGTGTACAAACACCTCAAGTCTTGTGCACAGCGTCCACACACCAGAGCGTGTTTTCGAGTGTCTGTACACCAGAGAATGCCTTCAGGTGTCTGTACACCTGAGTCGCACGTGGCTGTGGTTTCATTAAAGTTGGAAGATGTCCACATATATCCAAGTGTATGTACACCTGAGCCCGCCCAAATGTACGGACACCTGAGAACATATCTCAGGTGTACGTACACCTGCGAACGCGTCTCGAGTGTACGTACACCTGGGAACGCGTCTCGAGTGTCTGTACACCTCGCGTGCAGGCCATGGACCAGTCCCACGTCGCTTTAGTTTCATTGAAGTTGGAAGATGTTGGTTTTCTGCACTACCGCTGCGACCGGCCGCGGTCTCTGGGCCTCAACATGTCTTCGGTGGTGAAGGTCTTCAAACTCTGCAGCAGCCAAGACACAGTCTCCGTGCAAAACGAAGACGAGGGGGACCTCATCACCTTCGTCTTCGAAAACAACGGTCTGCTGCTGCTGCTGCTGCTGCTGTTGCTGCTGCTGCTGGGGGCGGCGGGGGTGTTCGGCGGCGCTGGGGCGCTTTGGGGGTCCGACGCGCCGTGGCGCAGCCGCGAGCGCCAGCTGCTGCTGCTGCAGCTGCAGCGGAGGACTCACGCGCCGCCGCCGCCGCTGCTGCTGCTGCTGCTGCTGCTGCTGCTGTGCTGCAGCGGAGGAGAAGACGTCGACGTTCAGCCTGCGTCTGATGGGAATTGAACAGGAGTCGTTGGGAGTTCCCGACGAAGAGGAAAGCGACGTGGAAATAACTTTCAGCGCGAAGGAGTTCGCGTCGATCGTGAACACTCTGAAGGAGTTCAGCGACTCAGTGCGGATCGACGTGGACAAAAACGGAGTGAAGTTCATCACGAACGGAGACATTGGAGGCGGAGAAGTAGTTTTGAAGCCTCGAGAAGGAAATGCAGAAGACGACCTGGACGTCGGCGTGGACGTGCAGGTGAGTGCGCGGCTGCGGTGTACGTACACCCGCCGCCGTGCAAGTTCAAGTTCAAGTCGCGCCGCGCGATCCGGCGGATCTGCGGTTCAAACGCGCGGAAAGCTGCGGAATAAATGCAGAAATGGAATTAATTTTGCAAATTAATGCGAAATGAGCCGGAGATCGCGAAGATTCCGCGCGTTTTGCGCTGCTTTCCGCAGGTCCGCCGCCCCGTGAGCCAGACCTACGCGGTCAAGTACCTGGTCTTCTTCGCGAAAGCTGCGTCGCTGAGCAACTGCTGCAAGTTGTCTCTCACTTCTCACCGCCCCATTTCCGTTAAGTTCGACATTTTGGACCCCATTCAGGGCGAAAGCCGCAGCGCCGCCCCCAAACTCGGACACTTCAAGTTCTACTTGGCCCCCAAGATGGACGACGAGGAGGTCGACGCAGCAGCCGAGGCCATGCAGACCGAGGGCCCCAAGCCCGAGGGCCACGTCAAGCCCGAGGAGGACATGGAGGACTAGCAGCAGCAGCAGCAGCAGCAGCAGCGGCAGCAGCAGCAGCAGCAGCGGCAGCAGCAGCAGCCGCGGCGGCGGCGGCGGGGGCAGCGGCAGCAGCAGTGGCAGAGAGTTCCTGTTTTAGCTGCTGCTCGGGACAATGGTGCAAAGAAGGAAAGGGAAATAAGTTGGAAAGAAAATTCCCAAAGTTCAAAATTCAATTATATCTTTTGCTGCAGCTCGCCAGCGTTGGCCCCACAGCCGGCCCACAGCTGCTGCTGCGGCCCAGCTAGCTAGCTAGCCAAACAGCTGGCGAGCTGGATAAACTAGCCAGCTAGCCAAATGGCTAGCTAGCTAGCCAGCTAGCTAGCTAGCTAGCTAGTCAGCTATTTAGCCAGCCAGCTAGCTAGTTAGCTAGCTGGCTATTTAGCTAGCTAGCCAGACATTGGTGGTTTTGGGTTGCCGGGTCGATTCAATTTGGTTAAGGAATTGTTGATTCGTGCGCAGCAGCAGCTGCAGCAGCAGCAGCTGCTGCAGCAGGAGCTGCGGCAGCAGCTGCTGCTGCAGCAGCAGCTGCGGCTGCTGCCTTTGTTTTCTGTATATTGCTAGTCGCGGCAAAGCAGCAAACCCCAATTTAAATCTTGTTGCCCGTGCTGCTTGCGGAGTTAGGGCTTAGGGTTTAGGGTTTAGGGTTTAGGTTTTAGGGTTTTGTTTGTGGCCTTTGCGCCTTGCCGTCCTCATTTGAAAATCGAAATGCAAAAAAGTAAAAACAAAACAAATAAAATACATTAAATTAAATTAATTAATTAAAATTAAATAAAATAAATGAATAATTAAATTGGAAAGGTCTTTAATTGCATTTTCAGCAAAAACTGAAAATGCATTTTTGAAATTCAAAAATGCAAATTTGAATTTCAAATTAAAACCCAAATTCAAAAGATATGACTTGTATACATATTTAATATTTACTTAATATTCAATTTAATTTAATTTAATTTATTTATTTGTTTATTTACCTATTTTGTTTCATTTATTTTGCTTTATTTTATTTATTTGCCAATTTATTTTCTTATTTGGGTTTTATGTTTTGAAGCAGAGCACTGCGGTGTTCCCCTGGTAGAAGCAGAGCAGGTGGGCGTTTTCCTGCAGCAGCAGCAGCAGCAGCAGCAGCAGCAAGTGCAGCAGCAGCAGCAGCAAGTGCAGCAGCAGCAGCAGCAAGTGCAGCAGCAGCTGCTGCTGCTGCTGCTGAAGGATGCCGCAGCTCGACGTAGCAGCAAATGTTGAACAAAAGGAGCCACTAGAGAAAACTCAAAGTGGAGCTGCAAATCCTATCTGCTGCTTCTGCTTCTGCTTCTGCTGCTGCTGCTGCTGCTTGTCTAAAGCATTTAAAATAAATAAAATATTTGACAAGAGAGACCACTGGTGCAGCAGTGCTGGTGTTGAGGTGTACGTACACCTGGGAACTGCGTTTTGAAGGGTCAAACTTGCCAATTAGTTCAATCAATTAAATCAATTTGATTAATTGAAATTAATTAAATCAAGTTAATTAAATTACATTAAATTAATTAAATTAAATTAATTAATTTAATTCAATTTAGTTAATTCTGAAATGGCAAACTGGCTGAAATCAACTTCTTCCAAAAATGCAGATTTTGCACCATTTCCGAAATCTTTTTTGAAATATTTCAACAAATTAAATCATTTAAATTACTTCAATTAGTCAATGAACAAATAAACATATAAATAACTAAACAAATAAATAAATAATAAATAAATAAAATAAATAAATAAATAAATTAATAAATAAACAATTACCTGCGCCTGGACGCAATAAGAAAAACCCTCGCCGACGACGCACTGCCAAGAAGGGCCACAGAGAAGATCCAAATTTTCTTTTATTTGTTTTGCAATTGTCTGCAGACACGAGGGTTTAGGGTTTAGGGTTTAGGGTTTAGGGTTTGGGGTTTAGGGTTTGGGGTTTGGGGTTTAGGTTTTGGGAAAAATCGCAGATTTCTGGAGACCAGGGAACGTCCAAGGGCTAGGGTTTAGGGTTTAGGGTTTAGGGTTTAAGACGGTGTCTTGGGCTGCGAGGGTTTGCAAGTCGGGAGGACTAGTCCAACGAAAGAACTAGGGTTTAGGGTTTAGGGTTTAGGGTTTAGGTTTTAGCGCGCCTCGTGGTTGAGCTCCGGGCCCAGTGAGTGTTTGTCAACTGCTGCAGTAATTGCGTCCAGCAGCTCCTGCTGCTGCTCCTGGTTAAGTGAAGACTCCTAATGGCAGCAGCAGCAGCAGCAGCAGCCGCAGCAGATGCAGCAGCAGCAGCAGTAGCAGCAGTAGTAGCAGCAGCAGCAGCAGCAGCAGTTGCAGCAGTTGCAGCAGCAGCAGTAATAGCAGCAGTCTCCGGTGTATGTACAGTTGGGAATCAGCAGCGGCGGTTTGCGGCTAGGGGAGAAGCCGAGGGTTTAGGGTTTAGGGTTTAGGGTTTACGTAGGCTAAGGGTTTAGCGAACAGCAGCTCGAGTTCTTTGGACAGCGGTTTCCGTGCCATTGCGGAAAAAAAAAATAAATCAAATAAATAAATAAATAAATAAACAAATAAATATATAAATGAATAATAAAACTAAATAAATTATATTAAATTAATAAGACGAAATGGAATAAAAGCAGAAGCGGCAGAAGCTGAGCTGCTGCTGCTGCTGCTGCTGTTGCTGCTGCTGCAGCACTTTTTCTTGTTTTGTGTTTTTGCTGCTGCGTAGCAATTAAACAAAAAAGAAAAGAATAAAAACAATATTAAATTAGTTAAATTTAATTATTTGTTGCATTTAATGAAAATAAAAAAGGAATTCAATTTTGTCTGTTTCCCGTTTTTTCAACACCGTGGGTCTGCTGCTGCTGCTGCTGCTGCTGCTGCTGCTGCTCTTTGGGTTTGTTTTGCTTTATTTCGTTTTATTTTATTTTCTTTTTATTTCTTTTTTTCATTTTCTCTTTTGTCGTTTATTTCGCTCCAAAGACGCCCGCTCTTTCGTGCAGACCCAAAGCCCCGATGCATGCAGCCCCTGCTGCTGCTGCTGCCGCTGCTGCTGCTGCTGCTGCTGCTGCTAGTACAGCTGGAAGATTTGGCTGTAGTTAAATTAGCTGCGTAATAAAATAAAGTAAAAATTAGCAAAAACAAATAACTGCTCGCCGCCTCGCTGTAAAATAACAAACCCTAAACCCTAAACCCTAACCCTAAACCCTAACCCTAATGTATAACTTGAACGGCCGCCTCTCTGCGCTATTTTTTGATTATTTGGATATAAATTGAATTATTATTTTTAAAATTATTATTTAAAATTGAACATTGATTAAAATTAATTCATTTTAAACCATTTAATCCGCCAATTTCCACAAAACGCGTGCACTCCTGCCTGCAAAGGGGATGGAAGCTGAACGGAACTGAACGCAAATTGGATCAAATGGATTTACATAAAAGCCTGAGAGGATGAAAATACGAAAAAGAGAAATAAATATGAAAATAAACTCCAAAATGAACAAAAATGCAAACAAATCCTAGAAAATTCACACGCCGAAGACAGACCCAAAAGAACGACAAAAGGGAATCAAATGTCCTTTTTTGAAATCTTCTGGAAGAATAAATGGAAAGAAAAGAGTTATAAATGCATTTATATTTCGAAAAGGATTTGAAAATGATTTAAATGACAAAAAATCTCCAAAAGTCCCATTACTTCAGACGCAACCCAGCTCAGCTGTATGTACACCCCAGCTCCCCGGGGGCAATTCTGCATGCGCTTTCTGGATTTCTTTTTGGCCAATTTAAAAATTAAATTAATTTGATTTAATTTACTTTTATTTTATTCATTTCAATTCAATTTAATCCATTTTAATTTAATTTAATTTAATTCATTTTAATTTAATTCAATGCAGTTTGATGCAATTGAAGAATCCTCGCATGCAGTTGGAGGCAATTAAATGCAATTAAACGCAAATGCAATTAAATGAAATCAATTATTTCAAACTTATTTATTTATTTATTATTATTTGTTCATAAGTTACTGTTAATTTATTTATTATTAATTCATTATTGTTTATTTATTACTATTTATTTTGTATTTATTCTGTATTAATTATTTATCAAATACTAACAAATAAACAGCTATGAAATAGTCAAAACTAAAAACCTCTATGTAGTAAACAAATTAAAAAAAAATAATATATAATAAGTAGATAAACAAATAAATGATAAATAAACAAACAAATAAATATATAAACAAATAAATAAATCGATAAATAAATAATAAGAATTTCAAAGCGGCTTTTGCTGCTGCGGGCAAAGCCCCTTTTGCTGCAGCAGCTGGACGACCTGCAGCAGCGGCCCGTCTTCGGGAGCAGCAGCAAGGTAGTGCGCTGCTGCTGCTGCTGCTGCTGCTGCTCCCGCAACAGCAACAGCAACTCCAGCTTTTTGAAACATGGAAATGTCGTTTTCGGAGTCTCCGAGAACTAAAACGTTTTGTGGGGAGATTCCCAGGTGTACAGACAGCTCAACTAGTCCCCGCCCCTTTGTGTCTCCTTTGCTGCAGATCTCCAGCAGCTCTGGATAGGGCATAGTGAGTTCGAGAAGGCTGCCAAGTTGCTGCTGCAGCAGCAGCCGCAGCTGCAGCAGCAGCGCAGCGGGCTGCCACAGCAGCAGCTTGTTGAACCGCCGGCTGTACATACACTCCCGCGGCAGCAGCACCGCCGGCTCCTCCCCGAACTCTGCTGCTGGCAGCAAAGTGAACTTGTTGCTGCTGCAGCAGAAGCAGCCCGTCTCCGTTATCCCCAGCACGTGCTGCAGCTGCTGCTGCTGCTCCAGCAGCTCCAGCACCTGCTGCTGCACTGCAGCAGGAAGCCAACGAGCAGCAACTGTCTCCCCCTCCCGCGCCCCACACACAACAGCCCCGTTGCAGAACACCCCGGGGTACCCTTTGTAGTCCAAAGCAGCAGCAGCAGCAGCAGCAGCAGCAGCAGCGGGGTCCCCAGCAGCAGCAGCGGCAGCAGCGGGGTCCCCAGCAGCAGCAGCAGCAGCAGGGGGCTCCGCAGCAGCAGCAGCAACAGCAGAGGCGCGGCCGCGCCCCGTTGCAAACCCCACAAGAATGCCCAGCTGCTGCGCCAGCCTAAACCCTTGCAAGTTTGCTGCTGAGGGTTTTCTGCTGCTGCCAGCAAAAGTGCCGTCGAAGTCCGTCAGTATCAGCTTTATGGGGTGCGCGTGCGACAGCAGCGAGATCGGCAGCGGCCCTTTTGCTGCTGCTGCTGCTGCTGCTGCTGCTGCTGCTGCTGGGGCGGGGGCGGGCGGGGAGGCTGCAGCGGGGGACAGCAGCAGCGGGAACGGCGTCGCGTCAGCTGCAGCTGCTGCTGCTGCTGCTGCCGTCGCAGCGCACGACGGGGATGCTGCTCCTGCTGCTGCTGCTGCTGCTGCTGCTGCTGCTGGGGTTGCTACTTCTGTTGCTTCAGTTGCTGCTGTCGTCTCCGTTGCTGCTGTCTCCTGCTCTGTTGTCAGCGCCATTCTGGGCAGCGAAGTGGGGCTGGCGCAAACACTCGAAAACTCCCAGAAGACACCTTGCTGCTGCTGCTGCTGCTGCTGCTGTCGCTGCTGCTGCTGCTGCCGCTGCTGCTGCTGCTGCTGCTGCTGCTGGAACGTAGAGATGTTGGGGTACGGGAAGAAGGGAAGCAGGAGGACCCGGGGGAGCAGCAGCTGGGGTGTATGTGTTCAGGTGTACATACACCGCAGCGGCGCAGCTCGGAAGACGGCGGCGGGAGTCGGGAGTTGCTGCTCCCTAGAAGTGAATTTGAAATAAATTTGGAGTTCAAATTGTCTTAAAAACAAATGATTTACTTTTTGCACGAAATAAAAAAGAATTGAACTAAATTCAAGGCGGAACGACCCCAAAGTCCGCAGCAGGAGCGCGGCCATTCCCCGGCGGACTCCCCGGCGCTGCAGACACTCCAAAAGAAGTAAAAGTTGAAATGCAGCCGCTCAAATGGAATTAAAAATATAATTTAATTTAATAATTCAAAAAAATAAATAAAATAAGCAGCAATAAGTTCCCAGTGAACCGGGTGTACAGACAGACACTGCAGTGCCTAGGAGGTGTCTGTACACCGCACAGTGCTGACGGCCTCGACTTCCGCTCAGATTCTTCTCATTTATTTTTAAATTATTTTTTATTTATTTTATTTGCTGCTGCCTGCCCCTGGCCTCGCGGATATAGCTCGGATTTCAGGTGTAGAGACACCGCGCAGACGCTGCAGCAAACAGCTGCAGCAGCAACTGCAGCAGCGATGCTGAAACAAACAGCGGTTTACTGCAGCAGCAAGCCAACTGCAGCAGCAGCAACACGGATGCCCAGATAGCGAAGGGATCTCTGCAGCAGCAATGCTGCAGCAGCAGCAAACTAACTGCAGCAGCAGCAAACTGACTGCAGCAGCAAACGAACTCCGGCAGGGAAGTGACTGCTGCAGCAAATCAACTGCAGCCACTGCAGCAGAAGCAGCAGCAGCAGCGCAAGCAGCAGCAAGCCCTCTAGAAGAAGCAAACTGCAGCAACTAGCCTTCTAATTGTGAATTTGATAATTCATAACTACTTAGAGTTTTCTTTAAATCTATTTATTTATTTATTTATTCAATTATTTATTTAAACTAAAAGCCAAATTACAGACAAATGAATTTCCCTTCACTGCCCACTCCCCACATCTGCGGTGTACGTACACCGCGAGTGGGGCAACGCCTCTCACCAAATTAGCAGCAGCAGCAGGAGCAGCAGCAGCACGCCGCTGCTGCTGCTGCTGCCGAGCAACCCACACGCTGTCTGTACAGTGGCTGCATTGCACTCTCCGCAGCCGCTGCTCCTGCTGCTGTTGTTGCGACGGTTGCTGCTGCTGCTGCTGCTGTTGCTGTTGCTGCTGCTTTTAAAGCTACCACAGAAAGAAATTCGTTCGCCTTGCGCGAAGACCCCACAGAAGCAGCAGCAAACCGCTGCGGCTGCAACAGCAGCAGCAACAACAAACTGCTTCCACTGCAGCAGCAACAACAAACTGCTTCCACTGCAGCAGCAACAACAAACTGCTGCCACTGCGGCACCAACAACAAAACGCTGCCACTGCAGCAGCAACAACAAACTGCTGCCACTGCAGCAGCAACAACAAACTGCTGCCGCAGCAGCAGCTGCTGCAGCAAGCTACTACCATTAAGGACAACCCGAACCTCTTAAATCCCCCATATGGTTTTAGACGAGCAGCAGCGCTTCAGATCTCTGCTGCAGCAGCAGCAGCTGCAGCAGCAGCAGCTGCAGCAGCAGCAGCAGCTGCTGCTGCTGCTGCCGTGCCACCTTTGCCGCCACTGCACAAGTGCAGCTGCTTTGCTTCCTTGCCGCTGCTGCTCCCCCTCCAGCGGCCACGCCCGGTGCCGCTGCTGCTGCTGCTGCTGCAACCCCTGCTGCTGCTGCTGCTGCTGCTGCTGCTACTGGGAAACGGAAACATATCTCTGGCGGTGAAGAGACCTGCTGGAGTTTCTGGAGGAAAGGGAAGAAGAGATTCTGGAGGAGCAGGAGGGAGCGGACTGCTCGGCGTAGTGCTGCCTGCTGCTGCTGCTGCTGCTGCTGCTGCTGCGGGAACCTGCTGCTGCTGCGCGCCGCTCCTCCAAGTGCTCCTTCTCGTGGCAGTAGCCGCAAACAACTCCCCCGCTGCAGACCCCCGACTGCAGCAAAAAGGGACAGGGGCAGCAGCGCCTTTCGCGGTGGATCTGCCGCGCCCGCTGCTCCCTTGCTGCTGCGTCCGACTGCCACCGGCCTGCTGCTGCTGCTGCTGCTGCTGCTGCTGCCGACGGCGAGCCCCGGTCCAGCCACGAACGCGGGCTCCTCCGGCCCCGCTGCAGCGCAGCACCACCCGCAGCAGCGAAAGACGCAGTTCAAGCCCCACTGCAGCAGCGGCTGCAGCAGCAGCAGCAGCAGCAGCAGCAGCAGCAGCAGGGGCAACGAGCGCCTCAAGGAGAGAGGCAGCAGCAGCAAATACAAAACAGCTCACGCGAAGCAGGTGCTGCAGCTCATGGAGCAGCTGCACAGCTACACAAGCTGCAGCAGCAGCAAAGACACCTGCACCAACAGCAGCAGCAGAAGCAGCAGCAGCAACGGCAGCACAGAGGCAGCAGCAGCAACAGCAGCAACTCCAGCAGACAAACTTACTGAATATGATCTGCTCCTGGAGAAAGAGCGCGAGTAGTACCTCCGTCTGCTGCTGCTGCTGTTGCTGCGGCTCCTCCACCTACGTCTGCTGCTGCTGCTGCTGCTTCTGCTTCTCCTGCGGCTCCCGCGGCTGCCGCGGCTGCTGCAGCTGCTGCTCCTCCTCCTCCGGAGGCTCCTGCTGCTTCTGCTGCTGCGGCTCCTGCGGCTGCTTCGTGTGCTGCTGCCACTGTTGCTGCTGCTGCTGCTGCGCCTTCCGCGGCCCCGAGAGCGGCGGCGCCTATCTCTGTGGTGCTTCCTGCTGCTGGTGTGGCTGCTGCTGCGGCTTCTGCTGCTGCTGCTGCTACCACTCCTGCTGCTGCCGCTGTCACTTCTGCTGCTCCTACCGTGGCTCCTGCTGCTCCCGCTGCTGCTTCGGCTGCTACTGCGGCCTCTGCTGCTGCTACTGACGCTCCTGCTGCTGCTGCGGCATCTGCTGCTGCGACCACTCCTGCTGCTGCTGCTGCTCACAGAAACTGCTTCTCTTTTCCTCCTGCTTCCTCCCCTGCTGCTGCTGCGGCCATTGCGGGTCCTGCTTCTACTCTTTCTGCTGCTGGCGCTGCTGCTGCTGCTGCTGCTGCTGCTGCGGCTGCTGCTGCGGCTGCGGCTGCTCCCGCTTCTGCTGCTACTGCTGCTCCTGCTGCTCCTGCTGCTCCTGCTGCTCCTGCTGCTCCTGCTGCTGCCGCTGCTGCTACTGTGGCTGCGGCTTGGCGAAACTGTGTCTCTTCTCTTCCGTCTGCTGCTGGTGGCCCTTTGAGGGCTTTGAGTTGCTGCAGCTGCTGCGAACTTTGCTGCTGCGCTGTCTGCTGCTGCTGCAGCTTCTGCCGCTGCTGCTGCGGCTCCTGTCATGGCTGCTGCGGCTCTTCCCGCCACTTCTGCGCTTCCTGACGCTGCTGCTGCGGCTCCTGCTGCTGCTGCTGCGGCTCCTGCCGCTGCTGCTGCGGCTCCTGCCGCTGCTGCTGCGGCTCCTGCCGCTGCTGCTGCGGCTCCCGCCGCTGCTTCTGGGGCTGCTGCTGCGGCTAACTCCGGAGCTGCTGCTGCCCCTGCTGCTTTTGCTGCTGCTAATGTCTCTTCTTTTGCTGCTGCCGTCAGAAGGGCGGCGGGCTACTTTGCTTCTGCTGCTGCTCCTGCTGCTGCCCCTGCTGCGGCTGCTGCCGCTGCGCCGCTCGCTGTGTCTGCTGCTGCGGTGACTGTGCTCGCTGCTGCGGTGGCTCCGCTTGCAGCTGCTGCTGCGGCTGCTGCTGCTGCTGCTGCTTCTGCGTAGCTTGGGGGTTATGCTTCGACCCCGGGAGGGGCTCTTCCTTTTGGTCTCCTCGGCGGCGCTGCTGCTTCTGCTGCTGCTGCTGCCTCCGCTGTCTCTGCTGCTGCTGCTGCCGCTGCTGCTGCTTCGCCGCATGCTGCTGCGGCTCCGGCTCCTGCTTCTGCTGCGGCTTTTCGCAGCTGCTTCCACGGAGTTGCTCCTGAGTTTGCCGCCTTTGCTGCTGTTGCTGCCGCGTGTGCTACTGCTACTACTACTGCTACTGCTGCTGCTGCTGCTGCTGCTGCGGATAGGAGATGCCGGTGGGGCTGTTTTCTTCGACTGGTTCTTCACAGCGTCAACGTTCGCTGCTGTGGCAGCGGCAAGTGCAGCAGCTGCAGCAGCAGCAGCAGCAGCTGCTGCCTTTCGCGCCTCTATTGCCTTCGCAATCTTGCTCTTCTGCCGTTGCTGCTGCTCGCCCTGCTGCTGCTCCTTCTGTTGCTGGTGTGGCTGCTGCTGCTCCTGCTGCTGCTGCTCCTGCTGCTGCTTCTCCTGCTGCTGCTTCTCCTGCTGCTGCTTCTCCTTCTGCTGCTTCTCCTGCTGCTGCTGCTGCTGCTGTTTGTGCTTGTTTGCTGCTGCCGGCTCTGAACGTTTGCTACTGTGCCGTTTCTGCCGATCAGCGTGCTTGGGGCTTGCTGCTGCAGTTGATTTTTTGCTGCCGGACGAAGCATTCTTGTCTGCAGCAACAGCAGCAGGCTCCGGTGCTGCTGCTGCTGCTGCTGGTGCTGCAGCTGCTGCGGCTGCTGCTGGCGTGGGCGGCGCCTCCTTCGGAGCAGTTGCTGCTGCTGCTTTCCGTTTCTTGCTGCGTTTTGCATCAGCTGGATCCGCCTTAGCAGCAGCAGCTGCATCGCTGCTGCTGCTGCCGGCCTTGTCACCGCTGCCGCCTTTGGCTTTGGAGCTGCTGCTGCTGCTGCTGCTGTTGGTGCTGCTGCTCAGTTCTTTGCTGCTTGTTTTCTGTCTGGGGCGTTTGTCCTTTTTCGTTCGTGTGTGTTTGCCTTCACCGCTTTGCTGCGTCTGCTGCTGCGGCTCGGCCTTCCTTTCACTCTCCCTCCCGTTCCCCTGCTGCAGCTCCTGCTGCTGCTGCTGCTGCTGCTGCTGGCGTTCGAAGTCTGCGTCGGACTCCTCCTCGTGGTCCGTCAGCCACTCCGCGTCTGGCTCCGTCCGGCCTTTCCCCGAAAGTAAATCAGAAATGGAAGTCCAATCCCGATGATCTTTCCAGTTGCATTCTTCGAGAGCTGTCTGTACAGCCAAGCGCGACGCCGCGTTCAGCCGCCGGACTCTGCAGCAGCAAACTTGAACTGGAAATCCGGCAGTGCAAGCTGCGTCTTGAACGCGAAACCGACGGAAACTTGTCCGAATTTAATCAAATGTGGCTTAAAATTAATAAACATTTGAATTGAAATCAAAATTAAAAAAAAGCGACGGAAATTTGCGGCAGATCGCAGGCAGGAAGCGCACGGAGAGCAAAGGAACTTGATTGAAACTTGAATTTTGAGCCACGCAGGTCCAAGAGCCAGCAGCAAACATACACCAGAAAAAGAAAACGAAGTTGAATTTAAACTCAACTTTTCAGATAAAAACAAATTTCACTAATTACAAATTCAATCAACTAATGCAACTTGGTCAGAAATCGAATTCAACGAAGTGTAAGTTGAACATGAATTGAACTGCAGAAATCTGAGTTGAATTGAATGCCAACCAAAACAAAATAAATAAATCTAAATGCAAATTAAACGCAAATTAAATAAAGTCAAATAGCAATTAAATAAAATTAAACGCAAGTCAAATGCAAATTCAACAAAATGGAAAAACGAGAAGCTGCAGCAAAGGCTCTGCTGCTGCTCGGCTCGAGCCTCTCCAGTCCTTTAAATTTGAAAACTGGCGAAAATGTGAATTAAATAAATTTAAAAAATTATATTTTTGCTTTATTGAACATTTAAAATGCACTTAAGTGCCAAAAGGACAGAAAAAGAGGCACTTTATTCATCATTTTGCAAGAGCAGCAGCCCTTTTGCAACTCCCCAACTGAATCTACTTAGGTGTACGTACACCGCAAACAACACTCAGAGGCCAGATCTTTTCACGAAATGGATTTATTTGCTGCAGCAGCAGTTACAGCAGCAAAACGTGGAGTAGAAAAGCGGGAAAAAGGGCAGCAGCAGCAGCAGCAAAGGAGCAGCAGCAGAAGTCTCCAGAGGCAAAAAAAGTTGGGAAAAAAGAGAAAAAATAAATAAATAAAAGAATTTGGAAGCAAACTTGAATAAGACTCACCCAGGGGCTATCTCGTCGTAGGCCAGCCGAAAGTCCCTTATCTTCGAAGGCAAAACCCAGCAGTAGCTGTTCACCGCCAGACGCAGCACCTGCACACACACCAGCCACTCCTGCTGCTGCTGCTGCTGCTGCTGCTGCTGCTGCTATTGCTGCTGGTGCTGCTGCTGGTGATGCTGCTGCTGGCGCAGCTGGTACTGCTGTTGGTGCTGGTGGTGTGGTTGCTGGTGCTGCTGCTGGTTTTGCTGCTGCTGCTGCTGTCACCGATGGTGCTGCTGCTGCTGCTGCTGATGTTGATGCTGCTGGTGTTGCTGCATGTGCTGCTGCTGCTGATGTTGATGCTGCTGGTGTTGCTGCATGTGCTGCTGCTGATGTTCCAGCTGTTGCTGCCGGTGCTGCTGCAGGTGCTGCTGCTCATGCTACAGGTTTTGCTGCCTGTGTTGCTGCTGATGCTGGAGTTGTTGCTGCAAATGCTGCTCTCGCTGCTGCTCCACCCCTGCCACTACTGCTGTTGCTGCCTCTCCTGGCGCACTACCATTACTCCCAGTGCTGCTGCTACTCCTGCAGCTACCGCTGTTGCTGCTGCTGCCCGTGCATCTGCCGCTGCTGCTGCTGCTGCTGCTGCTGCTTCGCGCAATGCCAGCGCCCCTGCTACCGCTGCTGTCAGCGCCACCGCCACCCCTCTGCTGCTGCTGCTGCCCTGCTGCTGCCCCGCCACCGCCGCCGCCGCCGCCGCCGCTGCTGCTGCTGCTGCTGCTGCTGCTGCTGCTGCTTACGAGGAGGCGGCCGGGCCGGGGCGCCCGCAGCGCGGGAGGCAGCGGCGGGTTCAGGAAGGGGTCTTGGGGGCTGCAGAGGAGACCAGTCCACCAGGGGAAGCTGTCCTTCTTGAACCAGACCAGTGGTTCTCCGCGCTTGCCCACGACTCTGGAGAAGCTCTGCAGCGGCGGGGAGCCGGCGGGCCCCTGCTGCTGCTGCTGCAGCAGCGGCAGCAGCGGCAGCTTCGCCTTCCGCTTCTTCGACGCCGCGCCTGACGCAGCAGCACACGCAACACCACACACCGCCTGCTGCTGCTGCTGCTGCTGCTGCTGCGGGCGGGGACGCGCTGGGCGCGCGGGGGCGCCCAGCTGCAGCCAGCTGCGGCGGAGCGCGTCCGCGATCGCCCGCCCGCTGCTGCTGCTGCTGCTGCTGCTGCTGCTGCGCGGCAGGGCTGGCGGGAGTGCTGCGGCGGAGCTCACCGTCTGTACGCACGCCCGAAGCCCTCGGGGCCTTCAGAGGGCGTTTTTCCGGCATTTGGAGCTGCGGAGAAAAGCAGAAAGAAAAGAAGTGAAGCGAAGGAGCGCGTTGGGCGAGTCGGAGGCGACGGCGGCCGGGTGTCTAGACAGCTCGCAGCAGCATGCTGGAGCGCGCGATCTCGAGCCCCCGAGCAGCAAAGTGGAAAGAAGCAGCAGCAAAGTTCGGGGAGAAGCAGCAGCCGCGCGATCGGCGAAAGAAACGCGAAGCGGACGGAGCTCGCGGGGAAAGCTGCTGCTCCTGCTGCTGCTGCTGCTGCTGCTGCCCGCCTCCGGCCCCAGAGCTGCCCCCGAAGGCCCAAACGAATCCAAACAAACTCAAAAATGATCCAAAGTGTTTATGCATGCAGATCTCTCCGTGCGGCCGCGAGCTCGGGGCCAGAGCGGCGCCCACGCGCCTCAGGCCTCACCATTTAGGGCTGGCAGCAGCTGCTGCTGCTGCTCTGCAGCGGGAAAAACGCCGCTAAATCGCTCCCCTTTGGATTTTTATTTAATAATTTTGCAATTGTTCTCACTTGAGACGAATTGTTCTTCAATTGGACTCCAGATCGCGCGCGAATCGCCCGCGCCGTCAGCCCTTCCCCGCAGCCTCAAGCTCCTGCGCAGGTCACTGCAGCGGGCGGGGGCCTTTGCTGCTTCCGCATGCTGCAACTTATGTTTTTAATTATCTTTTTTGCTTCATTTGCTTCCAAAATTTGTCTCCCGCCTTTCTGCGGTGCCTTTCTGCTGCTGCTGCTCCCGCCGCTGCTGCCCCTGCTGCTGCTGCTGAAGACACAGCGCCGCTGGACGGCTACCGTGCATGCCTCCTGCGGCTGCTGCTGCAGCAGCAGCAGCAGCAGCAGCAACAGCGCTGCAGCAGCAAGTACTTCCAAGATACTGGCTTACGATGCGCTGCGGGAGCTCCGCCGCCGGGTGGCCTTCTAGTTTCAGTGTATGTACAGTAGAGCAGTCCAGCTAAAACAATGAAAATAAAATTCTGCAGCTTCGCAGTGTAGAGTTAGCCTTATAAACCAGCAGCAGCAGCAGCAGCAGCAGCAAGGGCTGCTGCTGCAGTGGGGCTGCTGCTGGATAGAGTAGTTGAAACTTTCTCATTATTCCAAAACGAGATCTTTTGAGTCTTCGCTTCAGCCACTTTCGCCTCTGCTGCTTTTTTCTAAAAGAAAACAAATCAAAGGGGCTTCAACTCAAGTCTAATAAAAGCCTTTTTAGTTTTTAAATAATTTTAAAATTTTGATAAGTTCCTTCAACTCATGAATTCATGTAGTGTTCAGAACATGCATTTTAATTCGCAAAATAAGATCTCCTCTTCTCCGAAATTCATTTATATCATTTAAGTCTTCTCCATTATCGTGGAAAAGAGCAGCAATGTGAAAAGTTTGCAATTTAGAAAGAAACTTCATAAAATTCCGTGGCGAAATTCAAGTTTCGCTGCGGCGGAAAGCTGGACAAAACGGAAAGCTAAAGCTGCTAAAAAGGTGAAAACGGAGATAAAATGAAGCAATAAAAGCAGCACTTTGCATAATTCTTTGTTGGGTTTTCGAAAAAGGTCTTTAAAGGTTCTTTTTTGGAGAATTCAACTTCGTGGCAGTTGCTTTCCAACGCGGAGCTAAGGATACACCCGAACAGCGCCTGCGCAGCACGCCACGGAGTCCGCGAGAATCTGCACTTCTTTGAATTTGAATTCAACAAAAAGTATTTCGCAAAGTGGAAAGCAAAGCTTTGCGGGAATGGCCGGCTCAGGGGCCTTTTGCATTTCGGAAAACGGCGGCGCTGCAGCGCCAAACGAGCCGTTCAAGAAGCGGCGAAGGCTGCAGTCCGGGGGCTCCGTCTTCGCCTTTATTGGCGCTGAGTTTTGGCATTTATCTAAAGTTGAAGAAAGAAAAAATCTCCGGACTTTCTTGCTGCCTTTCGGAGCCCCCCGAGCAGAACTTGAATTCCCAGCCCTCAGCCTCCCGCAAGCTGTCCGCCTTCTCGTGCGATCCGCCACTCCAGCGCCTCCTCAGCAGCCTCTGAAGCTTCCTGCTGCTTCCATTTCGGATTTAAGAAGAAAAACTTTCCAAAAAAGGCCTCGAGACCCGCAAGCAAAGGCCCCTTTGCTGCTCATCGCCTGCTCCAGCTGCAGCAGCCAGGCAGATCTGCAGCAGCAGCAACACCTCAGACGCAGCTGCTGCTCCCAGACCTCCCTTTCGCCTGCTGCATCCAGCGACAGCAGCAGCAGCAGCAGCAGCAGCAGCAGCAGCGGCAGCTTCCCTGCCCCTCTCTCTCCCTCAGCAGCAAACCCTCGACTGGCTCCACAAAGTGGCACAACAGAAGCTTCTGCATGCCCAGGCTCTTTGCTGCAGTGCCCGTCTTTGCTGCAGTGCCCCTCTTTGCTGCAGTGCCCTTCTTTGCTGCAGTGCAACTCTTTGCTGCAGTGCCCCTCTTTGCTGCCTGCGAGTTTGGCGCGGCGCCTCCGTTTTAAATTTGAGCTGGGGCTTCATTCTGCTGGAGTGAGTTCTGCTGCTGCACTTTCTACTTTTCAAGAAAAGCATTTTGCTGCTGCTGCTTTCTTGCTGCTGCTCTCCAGATTCTTCCTTTTGAAAGATTGCCCAAGAAGCTGCCCAAAGCCCCCACGCTGCTGCTTTGGGCAAAAGCCCGCAGCAAGTTGTTGCACGGGAGAAAGCATGGAGCCGCAGCAGCAGCAGCAAATTTCAGCTGCTGCTACTTCAGGCGCGGCGCTGCAGCAGCAGCAGCAGCAGCAGCAGCAGCTTCTGAAGCTGCGCCATTTTCGCCTCTTTTTCCTCCAGAAGAGCTTCAGTTGGAGCTCGAGAGCTGCGAAACAGGATGTGTTGTTGTGTCTGTACCCTGCTGCAGTGGGAGCAGCAGCTCTGCTGCTGCTGCTGCTGCTGCTTCGGTTTTGGTGTTTCCGCCGCCGCTGCTGCCGCTGCTGCACCGAAGTGAGTTGATTTCAATTCAAGTTGCATTTATTTGCCAACCGGCACTTTTAATGGACCAATTGGCACTTTTAATGGACCAATGGTCTCAGGAAAAAGCTCAAAACTTGAAGAAGTGTTTGCAGAGCAGCACGAAGAAGCAGCCAGAGAGGCAGCAGCGCTGCTGCGGGAGTTTCTTTGCATGGCGGAAAGATGCAGCGGGGAAACTTCGGGGAAAATAAAAGAAAAGCAGCAAAATATTACTTCATTAGATCACATTTTTGATTTTAAATCTTGTTTTGAAGAAAAAAAGAAGAATTTCGACATTTATTTGCTCCAGGCATGATTTTTTTTTCGAAATTCGTTTTTGAATTTCAATCAGAATTTGCTCAGTCGAAGGAAGAGGCACAAAGGGCTGCGCAAAGCCACTCAAATGATTTCAATTCGGGTTTGTTTTTATTATTTCTTTTTCTTTTCAAATCTGAAAATGTAAGTTATTGAAGCTGCTTCAGACGCAAAGCCGCAAGCAGCAGCAGCCGTTCAAACTGCTGCTACTGCTGCTGCTGCTGAGGCACCACCGGGAAACGAAAAAGAGAGGAATGAAGCAGCAAAAAACATTTCAGGAATTGTTCTGGAAAGCCAGAGAAATTCGGAACAAAGCTCCGTTTTGTTCAAGTTGCTGCTGCCAGCAGCAGCAGCAAACGACGCTGCTGCTGCTCAGGAGCAGCAACGGGGAGCGGAACAAGGCCCCCCAGAAAGCGAAGAAGACAGTGAGATTATTTATTTAAAATATAAAACAAAAAGAAAAAGAAGAGCTGCTGTAGCTGCTGCTTACCTGGTGCTGCTTTGCTGCGAAATCTTTAAAACTCCGGACTTGAATTATTTTTCAATTTTCAATTTGCTGCTGCAGTGCTGCTTCAAGAAGACCCCGAGCTGCTGCAGCGGCTGGCCAAAGGCTTCCGCCGCCTCATTTCCCAAAAGGCTCTTCGCCAGGAAAAGGAAGCAAAACGCCGCCAAGGGCTGCGGCAGCAGCTGCAGCAGCTGCAGCAGCTGCAGCAGCAGCAGCAAAATGGAAGCAAAGAGACTCGAGAGATAAAAGACAGTGAGGAAAAATTAATTAAGGCCTAAAGTTCCTTCCTTGCTGCCGCTGCAGCTGCGCCATTTCCCCCACATCTGCTGCGCTTTTCTTCCTCCAATCCTTGTTGCTGCTGCTGCTGCCTTTTGCTGCTGCTGCCTTTTGCTGCTGTTGCCCTTTGCTGCTGCTGCCTATTGCTGCTGCTGACTATTGCTGCAGTCGCCTTTTGCTGCTGCTGCCTGTTGCTACTGCTGCAGCCTGTTGCTGCTGCTGCCTGCTGCTGCTGCTGCTTCTACTCTTGCTGAATCTGCTCACTTCAGGCCAAGAAGAAGCCTCGCCTCTGCAGCAAATGGCAGCAATTGATAATGTCCTCTTTTGCTGCTCTGCAGCAGATCTTCAAGAAGATTTTCTTTTTGTTAGCATTCAGGACTGGACTGCGGCGCTCCTAGCAGCAACGCAGCAGCGAGCTGCGGCCTGCAGCAGCCTGTGGCAGCAGCAGCAGCAGCAGCAGCAGCAACAGGAGCAGCAGCCGCACCAGCAACAGCAACAGGAGCAGCAGCAGCACCTGCTGCTGCTGCAGAGGGTAAAGAGCGGGTGTCCCCCTGCTGCTGTCGCTGCTGCAGCAAGAACAGCAGCAGCTCGCGTTGCTGCAGCAGCAGCAAGAGCGTTTGGCTACAACATCAGCAACAAAGGTAAGAGCAGCAGCTTTTCTTTTTTTCTTTTTCCTTTTTTCCCTTTTTAGTTTATCTATTTAATTTTGTTTTTTAATTATTTAATTTATTTAATTCATTTAATTCATTTAATTCATTTAGTTTATTGATTTGTTAATGGCTAAGCTTTAGCGTTTGAGGCATCAGCAGCAGAAAAAGCAGCAGCACTTTTTCCTGTAAGAGTTCATTTTCTTCAAACTTTCAAAAGCACTTCCGCCCTTATGCTGCTGCTGCTGCTGCTGCAGCAGCAAGAGAGGACTGAATCGGCGCTGTTCGACTTGTTTGCTGCTGCTGCTGCTGCCTGCGCCCTCGTGCTGCTGCAGCAGCAGCTTCTCGACGGGGGTGAGCTGCTGGCTTTTTGTTCATTTTATTATTTTATTTTTGAATATAAAATTAATTCAATTTGTTTCTTTTAAATTAATTTAAATTAATTTATTTTCGTTCTTTCAGGAAAGCTGCAAGCCCGCTGCTTCCTCTCGCAGCTCTTAGCAGCAAATCCGTGTCTTCGGGGGCCCCTTTCAGTTGCTGCAGCAGCAATTCTTCCGTGAGCAGCAGCAGCAGCAGCAGCAACTCTTTCATCATTCTTTTAATGCAAAATTGACTATAATTTGCTGCTGCTGCTGCTTAAAAGCTGCTGCTGCTCACGTCTGTGTGTGCACCTGCCGCTCAGTAGCAGCAGCAGCAGCAGCAGCAGCAGCAGCAGAAGAAGAATGCTGCTGCTGCTGCTTTCGCGCACTCTTCGCTTCTTTTAATTTCCCCTCATGCGATTTCATTCGGCAGGCAAGAGGCAGTGGCGCTCCTTGGTGCAGCAGCACCCCCAGCAGCAGCAGCAGCAGCAGCAGCAGCAGCAGCAGAGAAAAAGAAAAGGAACAGCAGCGGCGGAGAGTTGAATGCAGCAAAAGTTTCAGTTGTGGCAAATTGCTGCCGCCTTTTTCCCCGCGTCTCCGTTTTTGTTTCTTTTGATGGGTAACAAATAAATAAAATTAATGATAATAAATAAATAATAGTAAGTAAATAAATAATAAATAAATAATAAATAATAAATAAATACACAAATAATAAACAAATAATAATAATAGTAATAATAATAGTAATGATAATAATGATAGTAATAATAATAGTAATAATTGCACAGCCAAATCGATTTTCGCGCTGCAGTTAAATGCTTCCTGCTGCATTTATTAATTTGCTGCTGCAGGTTGCTGCAGCCGCTGCAGCAGGAGCTGGAGCAGCAAGGATTTAATTTCGAAATTTTGGCGGGGGAGGAATCAGCAAAAGAGAGGCAAGAAGCTGCTGCTGTTGCTGCTGCTGCTGTTACTGCTGCTGCTGCTGCTGTGCTGGTGTTGTTGTTGCTGCTGCTGCTGCTGTGCGCGTTAGGGCCAATGTGGCAGCATCAGCAGCGGCACGTGCTGCTGCAGATGTAATTATTAAACAAATTTTTATATATCAAATTGTGGCTGCAAGTGCATGCAGACCTGCTGCTTGCTGCTTTCACAGCTAGCCCGCAATTCTCTGCTGCTGCTGCTGCTGCTGCTGTTGCTGCTGTTGCTGCTGCTGCTGCATTATATCCTTTTTGTTTTTGAAGTACTTCTAACACTTAATTTATATTCTTCTTTTGCTGCCGCACACTGGCCCGCTCTCAGGCTGCAGCAGGCTGCTGCTGCTCCTTACCTGCTGAGCCACAAATCCCAGGCACCGCTGCTGCAGCAGCTGCAGCAGCAGCAGCAGCAGCAGCAGCAGCGCTTCCTCGTAGCCTTCAGCGTGTGCAGCCCCCTGGTGAATCTCTTGCCGAAATAAAGTCAAATAAATAATTTTAAATTCAAACATTTAATTAATCAATTAATTAATTGATTAATTTAACATTAAGAATTGTCTATTTAATTCAGTATTTAGTTTTAAAATCTGATTTATTTAAATTCTCTTTCCCAGGATTTCCCCAACGGCATCAACTTGCACTTGCGGCAGCAGCAGCAGCAGCAGCAGCAGCAGCTGCTGCTGCTGCTGCCGAAGCGGCGGGGCCATTCTTTGCGGTATTAGGCGAAATTAAATGATAAATAATTAAAAACAATTAAAGTAATTAGAATGATTAAAGTAATTAAATACTTAAATAATTAAAATAAACAATATTCATTTTAATTCAAATTCACTTCAACTCAGACTCCTCGTGGACCCCGAGGCGCACAGCTCTGCTGCTGCTGCTGCGCTGCTGTGCTGCTTGGGCAGAGCAGCGAAGCAGCAGCAGCAGAGCTGTGCGCCTCGGGGTCCACGAGGAGTCTGAGTTGAAGTGAATTTGAATTAAAATGAATATTGTTTATTTTAATTATTTAAGTATTTAATTACTTTAATCATTCTAATTACTTTAATTGTTTTTAATTATTTATCATTTAATTTCGCCTAATACCGCAAAGAATGGCCCCGCCGCTTCGGCAGCAGCAGCAGCAGCTGCTGCTGCTGCTGCTGCTGCTGCTGCCGCAAGTGCAAGTTGATGCCGTTGGGGAAATCCTGGGAAAGAGAATTTAAATAAA